AAAAAAAAAAAAAAAAAGTGAGCAAGAAGCAAGAATAACAAATAAACTGGGATATATGAGAAATAATTAAATTGAGCTTTTAGAAATAATATACACAGTTGTTGAAGTAAAAACTCAAGTCAATAGGTTTAAACAGGAAAATGAATATAATTAAAGAAAACTATTGTGCTGAAAGAGTTCAAAAAATGTTACATAGAATGCAAAATGATGAAATAGGGCAATTCAGTATATGACAGATATGTTAAGACCCTGTGAGGATAGTATGAGAAGACCTGATACACATCTAATCACAGCCCCTTAAGGTGAAAGGAGAGAGACAGCAACAATATTGAGGAGTTGATGTCTGAGACTATTCCAGAACTGATAAATAAATGAATGAATCCACGGATCTCAGAAACACAGCTTTTACAAAGGATAAATGAAGAAAAATTCGCCATAGATACATTGTAATGAATCTGTGAATCACCAAAGCTAAAGATATTATTTCACAAGTAGAATGACAGCTGACTTCTCAACAACAATGGAAGCAAGGAGACAGTTGAATGTCATCTTAAAAATGATGAGAGAAAAACTGTTAACATAAAACTGTGTACCTATCAAAAATATCTTTCAGCCTGGTGTGATGACTCACGCCTGTAATCCTAGCACTTTGGGAGGCTGAGGATGGTGGATCAGCTGAGGTCAGGAGTTCAAGACCAGCCTGGCCAACATGATGAAACCCCATCTCTACTAAAAATACAAAAAAAATTTAAAACTTTGAAAAAAATAGCCACATGTGATGGCATGTGCCTGTAATCCCAGATACATGGGAGGCTAAGGGAGGAGAATCGCTTGAACCCAAAAGGTGGAGGTTACAGTGAGCTGAGGTTGCACCACTGTGCTCCAGCCTGGGCAACTGAGCAAGACTCTGTCTTAAAAACAAACCAAAACAAATCTTTCAAGAAATACATCATAAAGGCAATTTCAGATAAACAATGAATGAGATTACTTCCTTAATGAATATGTAAGGATGTTTCTTTTTTTAAAATAAAAAAAAAATTGGAGGGGGTAATCGCCTCAAGCATTTATACTTTAGTTATGTTATAACCAATAAGAATATCTAAGGATGTTTCAAAAAGAAGAAAAATGATCCCTAAAGGGAGGTATATTAGCTTGCTATTAGTTGCTATAACACATCACAACAAACTTAGTAGCTTTAAACATTTAAACAACACAAAATTATCTTCCAGTTCTGTAGGTCAGAAATTTGATCTCCTGATTTCTAGTTAAGTCTTACTGGGCTAGGCCGGGTGTAGTGGCTCATGCCTGTAATCCAAGCACTTTGGAGGCCAAGGAGGGCAGATCACCTGAGGTTGGGAGTTCAAGACCAGCCTGACCAACATGGTGAAACCCTGTCTTTAAAGAAAAAAAAAAAAGTCTCACTGGGCTAAAATCGAGGTATCGACAGGGCCACTGTACGCTCTGGAGATCATGTTTTTCTAACTTCTAGAGGCGTTTGGATTCCTTAGCTGGTGGGCTTCTCCTTACATCTTCAGAGCTAACAGTGGCAGTCGAATCCTTTTCGCATGTTATCACTCTGACCTCTTCTGCCTCTTTCCTCTACTTTTAAGTATCCTTGTGATTAAATTGGGTCCACCTAAATAATCTAAGGTAATCTCCTTATTTTAAGGTCAGCTGATTAGCAACCTCAATTCCATCTGCAACCTTAATTTCTTTTTAGCCATGTAACCTAACATAGTCACAGGCCCAAGGGAATAATAGGATGTGGGTATCGTGGGTGGCAGGGTAGGGGCATTATTCTACTTACCACAGGGGACCCTGGATATCAGTAAAATCGGTGAGGAAGAAATGAGTAAATATGTAGAATAATCTAAACAAATCTCGTCTGAAGAATAAGTCTAAATGTAGGTTAGAAAAAAGGCAGAACTGGCCGGGCGCGGTGGCTCAAGCCTGTAATCCCAGTACTTTGGGAGGCCGAGGCGGGTGGATCACGAGGTCAAGAGATCAAGACCATCCTGGTCAACATGGTGAAACCCTGTCTCTACTAAAACTACAAAAAATTAGCTGGGCATGGTGGCGTGTGCCTGTAATCCCAGCTACTCAGGAGGCTGAGGCAGGAGAATTGCCTGAACCCAGGAGGCGGAGGTTGCAGTGAGCCGAGATCGCGCCATTGCACTCCAGCCTGGGTAACATGAGTGAAACTCCATCTCAAAAAAAAAAAAAAAGAAAAAGAAAAAGAAAAAAGGCAGAACTAAAATGTTAAGACAAATTAAAATGTTAAGCATATAAGTTGAGAGGGAGATGATGAAAGTTAAAAATACTCATAAATCATAGGTTTTGGGGTAGGGGTGTTAGATATTTATTAATTTGAGACCCTGAAGAGTAAAATAGTCATGAAAAAAATTTTAGTAGTTACCATTAAAGAAGAGAAGAAGGGTATATAACTTCTAAATCAGTATGGGAAGGGGGATGGAATAAGAAAACAATAGCAACCACAAACATCCCCACCCAAAATAAAGAATAATGTGAGAGAAAAAAAAAAAGAAGAAGAAAAAGGAAGCATTGAAAAGGGGCTAAAATAAAATTAAAAATTAAGATAGTAAAACAAATGTGAATACATTAAAGATTATAACAAGTGAAAATGAACTAAACTTCCTAGTTGAAAGACATGTAATCAGATTAGATTTTAAAATCTGACAATGCTATTTCCAAGACACATTTCTAAAATATTAAACACAGACAAGTTGAAAGTAAAGTTATGGAAGAACACAGACAAACTAACTAGAAGAGAGCTGGGGTCACCCTTTTGTACCAGACCAGAATTTCACTGAGAAAACACTAACAGGAAGGAGGAAAGGTACAACATAGCGATGAAGCATTTAATTCTCAACAAATGCATAACACTTCTAAACATGTATGACTGCAAAAAAAGAAACAAAAAACCTCAGCATAAATAAAATTTTGGAAGAGCCATGGCTATCAGTCAACATGCACTTACCATATTTACATCGTCCTACTACAAACATTTACCCGCATTACCGAGGTGCTGTCTTCATCCCCATTTTACAGATGGGGAAATTTCACTGGAGAGAAAAAGGTTTGGGCCATGCCTTAGTTTCTTCTGGACTCTGCTTCCTACTCATTGATCTTCACACCTCACCTGGAGACCTATTTCACATTATCAATCAGGATGAGAAGTGGTGTGCCTTTACCAAAGGATCACAGTCACCTTCAGAATGTGTTTAGATACAGATGGAGGCTTCTCTGGTTGCAGATGAAACAAGAGGCCCCATGGTATATCTGACTCCACGTCAATCACACTCACACACACGTGCAACAGTCACACACATGCACATGTGTACATGCACACACAGTCCTATTCTGGTCTGGCAGTAGTGCCAACACTCAAATCCCAGGTGTTACTCTGTAGCCTTTGAGGAAACCACTGTTATCCTGGGTTTATGAGAATGTTTCTTCTCGGTGCTCCTTTTTCTTCGTAGAAGCTTTTTTTTTTTTGTGCTGTGGGCTTTCCAAGATTGCAGCTTTCTCTGATCAGCCACATCAGGTTCTTGGACCATCCCCAAATTAAAGAGGTAGGTTTTGCTGCAAGAGACAAAGACATTCACCTCTCACACAGTTTGAACTATTGGGTAGAAACAGGTTCCAATGCTGGCCAGCCCCTATAGCTCCCAGTGCCCCCTCAATTATGACTCCTGAAGTATTGGAGCAGGGCCCTCACCTGACAAGGAGATAATTAGGTCTGCTGAAGAAATCCAGATGCTGCTCCTTAGCAAGTTACTACTACTCCTTCTCTTTGAAGCTTTGTCAATGGTAAAGTGCCTGTGATTCTTAAAGGGATAAAAACACAACCTATATAAAGCATCTGGCATGATGCCTGGCACAGGTGAGTGTTTCACAAATGTTACCTCATTCCTATCCCACTGTGGGAGTCCATATCCTCTTGGGTGGGCTGCCTCTGGTTTCCATGGTGTTATCAGAGTCATACTAAGTCCATGTGTCTGTACATGGATCCCAAGAACTAATTTCTGGACTGAGTTATGCCTACCAACTTCCCTGATACTTACTTCTGTCTCTCCATTCATCAAATGGAAATGTTTACATTTGGTCTCTGCTACTTGGAGTAACCAAAAGGCTTAGCATCCTGATTACCCATAGAGGTTTTGGAGAGGTCCTACATTGCCCTGTTTGACCACATTCTGCCTTTTTATGTGGAATAAGCATTCTTTCTTACATTTGTCTAGGAATTAGCAGTTCACCAAGCACACTCATGTATAAGGGCTTGTTTTGAATTGATCTTGGCAGAAATTCTATGAGAGAAGTAAAAGGTAGGTCAAGCATTATAATCCTCATTTTAAAGCTGGGAAAACGGAATCTCGAAAAGTTTGAAAGATTTGTTTAGGGGACAGTGTATGGGTAAATGAGAAGTAAGATTTGCTGAACTGGCATTTCCTGACTATGTATCTAGTGTTTATTCATGGAGAAAGCACTATGGTTGCCAAGTGGCTCAGAGTCACACAGCTCTGTGCCTCAGTTTATTCATCTGTAAAATGAAGATAATAATAATATATTCTGAATATTGTTGTAAAAATTCAATGAGATAGATCACATGATGGCATGAGAGCTCTTCATTGTTACTGTAGTGGATGCTGTAGTGCACTGCCTAGATTCCCATCCCCACCCCTACCCATTAGAATGGCCCATAGCTCAAGAGGCCACATTCTTTCCCCAGGTGAAGCCTGCATCCAGTGTCTGCTCAATGTGGGTGTATAAAGGCCTGGCTCCCTTGCCAGGGCCACCCCTCCTCCTGGAGAATGGACTGAGGCCTGCATTACAACTTAATTGCAGCTCAACACTTCTTTCCATTCAGTCCTTCCTTTACACTCACACAGGTGAGGACCCAGCCATTAAATGCCTCACACGCTAACCTCTGTTGCATGCTAGGTTTCGTATGCATACACGAAAACCATCCTCTATCAGTCAGACCCCTTATTTGCAGAGGCAAAGAGGCCAGTCTGGGTTAGATGTGCATCCTGTTTTTACAACAGAATAAGACAAACAGGCCCTCCTGTGGTATAAGTTCATGGTCTTATCCCCCAGCTCTGAAACTCAGCCATATGAGACAACGTTAGGTCTGAGGCAGCTCCAGACTTTGGGTTGATGTGTGACTAGGCACAGCCTCCTTTTGCCAATGTTGCAATCCTTTGTAAGAGACCGCAGGTTGTAGCTCGTTCCTGTTACTGAGCACAGAGGTTTGTAGGCCAGTCTCTCCAGGAATTCTGACACACTGCAAAATCCCATGGTTTGAATGCTTCTGCCTTCCCTGTGAAAGCCCCTGGTCTCAGAAAAGGAAGCTAGTTTAAGTGACCAACATTTGGGGCAGAGCTTCTGAGGGCCCAGCCACCGTGTTACGTACAACAATCAACAGAGATATTCTTTGGCTAGAGTTGTTTTTCTGGATGTAGGACCCTATAATTATCATCTGCTCTCCAACTCCCCTTCCTCCAAACCAGCATAAAATATAAGGAGGAAAATGCAAATTAAAGAGTTGGTAGCTTGTCCTCCACTTCCAACCAGATTGCCACGCTGAGCTTCCCCTGCTAGAAGTTCTGGAACCCCCAAATTTGCTCCAAGTCTGAGGCCCTTGATACGGTGAAAGGATGTGAGTGTGGAGGCCGGAGCCCCCCTTGCCCTGTAAGTTGCTCCCTTGCTTTTCCCCTTGAATGTTACAGTTTAGCTCTGTGACTCACTTATAATTGCCTGAATTCCCCATCCACACTTTCTCTTACTTTGGGGCTTCTCATCCTTCCTCTCCCTCCATCTTCCTCCTCTGACCCCAGACCCAAGCCTGAGTGGGGTGTTCCTCCTCTGTGCTCCCACAAAACCCTGTGCCTCCTTCATTGTTGCATATATTATGCTGTGATGTGGCTTTCTGGAGGTGTGAAGACTATAAATCCTATGAAGACAAATACACGCCTACCTTGTTGACCTTGGGATCCTCACAATCTAATATTGCACCTGGCACACAGTGGTTGGAAGTAAATATTCAAGAGGCAAACACACATTAGGAAGGACTCTTTTGTTATCGTTGTTTGTTGTTGCAGCAAGCGACAGAACCCCACCTTGATCTAGCTGATGGCCCTACCACCTTGTGTTTTGTAGCATGAGAGGAAGAGGAACTGCATCTCTTCCTTCAGTTTCAGCTTGAATAATATCAGGAAGATTCGTATTGGTCTGAATTGGGTCACGTACATGATGTACGGTAGCTGAGGGTGGGGTAAGCTGGTTGGAGTTTGCAACTTTGTTCACATAGCCAAGATATGGAAAGAACCTAAATGTCAACTGGTGGATGAATGGATAAAGAAATTGTGGTACATACATACGCTGGAATATTATACAGCCTTAAAAAAGAAAGAAATCCTGACATTTGTGACAACATGGTTGGACCTGGAGGGAATTACACTGGATGAAATAAGACAGACACAAAAAGATGTTTTCTGCAGGAGCTCACTTGTATGTGAAATCTAAAACAGTGAAACTTAAAGAAGAGAGTAGAATACTGATTGTCAGGGGCAAGAGAAAAGTGGAAATGAAGAAGTGATAGTTAAAAGGTGCAAAGTTTCAGTTATACAAGATAAATGAGTTCTGGAGGTTTCCTACTAATATTTCACAGAGTACCTATAAGTAACAATACTGTATTGTATACTTAAAATTGCTAAGAGGGTGTATCTGATATTATGTGTTCTTACCAATAATACTAATGGTAATAATGAAGGGGCAGAAGGACGCTTTGGAAGGTGATGGATATGTTTATGGCCTTGATGGTGGTGATGGTTTCATGGGAGTATACTTATCCCCGAAGTAATTGAGATGTAAACGTTAAATACATTCAGCTTTTTATATGTCAGTTGTACCTCAATAAAGTGGTTTAAAAATGGCTGGAGTGAGAAAAGAAGGTGTTGCTCAGCAACATGAGGCCAGGTGCTGGGCAGACGAAACCTTGCACATGCATGACTGAACCAATGGGCTCATGACCGTGAGCTTTGTGGCTGTGGATGCACTATGCTGACATAGCCAAGGATTTTTCAGTGTGTTCCTTACTGGATTCATTCCGTCTGTTTTCATTTTTATTGACTCCTCAGTTCCCTTATGGGTTGCTTGTTGGCTCTGGTGGAATTATTTAAGTAAGGCTTTGGTTGCAGGAGGCAGACGTGCTTGAGCTGGCTTTGGCTGTAATGGGGAGTTCGTGATTCATGACAGGAAGTGCAGCCAGACCTTGTGAGAGGCAGTAACTGGGAACAGCAAAGTTATGAGAAGTTAAGGCAGTAGCAGTAGTAATTGTCTCTCTATCCAAGGACACAATGTTTTTGTTCCTGCCTCTATCTGTTTGCTTTGTTCTTCTCTCTCTGCCAAATGGTCTTCTCTGTTTCTCTGTGTAACTGCAGAAGGTGACCACCCTAAGGCTTATGCATTTAGGAGTCCTCAGTTGGAGAGCAGTTACCCACTGCCTGGCCCCTGTGAGCTCCAGTTCCAGTTTCTTATTCCTGGTACTGGATTAGTTTGAAGCAGCTGTCCACTGTAAGTCCAGTGAGTCATGGCCTGGGGACAAGATCAGGTACATGTATACTCAACTGGCTCTGTGAGTTGTGGTGGTGGTGAGGAAGGTAATTCCCAGAAGAGTGGATTACAGCTTAAGAAGAGTCTACATATCTTGACCACAATTGATGTGAACTTGCAAGGTTCAGTGTGTGACCACTTACAAAGCTATGATTGGGAGTCTCATTTATCTATGGTGATGTATGAGTCTGTGTGTGTGTGTGTGTGTGTGTGAGACAGAGAGAGAGTCAGAGAGAGAGAGACAGAGAGAATGAGAATATGAGTGGTAGTTTCCCATTTATTTCTCTATGGGCCAAATCCTGGGCTATGTGCTGGAGATATAATAGTAACCAAAATTGACATGGTGCTTGCTGTGACCTGCCCTGGGAGACAGATATTACACAGAGGATCACACAACTGCAGAGTCTAAGCTGAGGTCTTAAGGGTGAGGATAGGTAACTAGTCAATGGAGCAGGGGAGGGAGGGCATTCCATGCAGAGGATTTGCCTGTGTCAAGGTCCTGAGGTGAGAGAAACAGGTGAATTTTAGGAACCAAAAGGATGGTGTGGCTGGAGTTCAGAGAACAAGGGGGGTTGTTTCACAAGCTGATCCTAGAGCCAGGCTGAGCAGACTCTTATGAACTCTGCAAAAACGTAAGGACTTATTTACAACCCTGGCAAACAACTCAAGGGTTTACAGTCATCAGAATTGTAAAGCTTATCTCATGTCTTTTCACACCTCACATCCATTGCTCTGACTTCATGTGTATAAGCTTCAGGACGCAGGATGCACCTCTCCCCTGGCTGCAATGAAGGGATTCGCCCAAGCTCTCAGTCTTCCCACAGCACCCAGGGACCCCCTGCTGCTGAGCCTGGTGTGTGATCTAGATTTCTATTCCCATAGTAGGACTTTCTTTGGGAGCCTTGGGGTTTCTCCTGCCAGAGGGCTTCTCCTGGGACTATCTTAATCCAAGAGAGGGGTTCTAATAACATTAAACCTCAGTATCTTTCTCCTCCATTCCTGATGCCTCCTTTTTTCTACCCTCCCCCTACCCCCTTCCTTCCCTATGCCTCAGGCTAGCTGGCTAGGGCTAGAGCAAGTGGCCAGTCACCGTCATTGGGGATGTGGGTCCTCAGGGTTCTTCAGAAGCCCCCTCACCATGATCAAGGGTCCCCAGTCACTCAGAATTCTAAGGTTCCCAAATGCCAGCTCTCCCAGTGTTCTCCATATCTGGGATGTTGGGCTCCAGGCTTCTCAGAAGCACCGAGTACCCTAGGCTAAGCCCCTGATTCCTCAGAGCTTCATAGCCTTAGAGGAGAGGTAGGCAGGCCTGCAAAGAAGCGTTCTGAGGTGGCCTAGGCACTGGGAGGCTATAGATGCCCTTAAACTGTCCCTTTACCCTGGATGTGCCCAGTGTTGGGACCACAAGGGAGCCCCCATCCTTACGTGCTGATCAGCTTGTAATCCCCGGCCCTGATTGGAAGCCTAGTTTTTTCTATTGTGACTGACCCTGAAGTAGCCAGGCCCCTAGCTCCCCAGGGAAGAAATCTAACCTATTTCCTCTGATAGCATGGCTAGTACTTAAATAATTCTGAACACATGACAAGCACTTTACAGTTGTTGTAAACAACCGCCTTGTGAAATGGGCAAGAGCCTTACCCCCATTATATAGATGTGGCCCAGGATCCCACAGCTATAGTTCAGGAGGCTGGGATTTGAACCCCTGGCCACCAGAGCCCACCTTACTGTGCCCTCCTCCTGTTGTTGTAACAGAAAAGTATAACACCATGATGACACAACAGGCTATCCTGGCAGGTTCCCAGGCTGCCCCAATGCCCAACTTTCTAGGTTTACAAAGTTGACGTTGACAAAGTTTCCAGGTTTACAAATCTAGTTTCTGATTCTTTAGCCAGCAGGCATTTCTCTACAAAAGCTGCTTCGAAAATTTCCAGCCAAGCCTTAGCGTCCTTGGCATTATACCTTAGTGAGCCAAGGCGGAAGAGAGCAGGAAGTGAAGGCCCCATGGGAAGTCCCTGTGGTCAGGAGCACCCAGGCGGGGTGGGAGGGGGAGCTTTCCTGTCACTGGCTCCCTGGACCTCCCAGTCCCATTCAGGCCCTATGAGTTGAATGAAGAGACCCTGGGAATGAGTCCAGGTCTCTGCAGGGTTAGAGGAAATTGAAGGCCCTCACCAGATCCCTGCTGAGAAGTTCATGAATTATGAGCACTTCTCCAAGTGAGAGTCTTCTTCCCTGTCAGGAGGGGCAGTGTGAAGGTGGCGGGATTGGTGGCAGCCAGTAGGCTGGCCTGCTCCTTCCTCTCTCTTTCTTCTGTGTATGAAGGCATTACCTACAGCAAGGTCCTGTGTAAATGCATGTGATTTATAGAGCATTTTATAGTCTGCATATCATTCATCCTTCTGGTGAGCCCCAAGTCTAAGATAGGACAGGGAGTGTCAGGTCCATTTTGCAGCTGTCAAAATGAGGCCTGGAGGGCAGAAGTGGTGTGCTCAGACACACATAACTGGTTGGCTGCAGACCTGGGACTAGATCCAGGACTTCGAACTGCCCAGGAGTCTCTTGCCACTGCTCCCCATCAACACGGATGGCTTTAAGCATTTGTGAGTTGTCTGCTCCCTGATTGAAGAATGCAGAGACATGAAGCTACAGCAGGGTAGTTCTCAATGGCGAAAAGGAGGAGGAGTGTTCAGAACATCAGGTGCTTCTAGAGAAAGCAGGGAGAGAGTATCTGGCCTTGTGGACAATGTCATGGCAGAGGCCAGGTATAGGGCATGTGGGTAACTGGAAGCAGGGATGGACCCTGTTATTCCCTAAGCTATGGCTTCCACATGGTGCTTAAACAAACCACAAGGGTCTCCACCCAAGGACGTTTGCCCTTGCTGTTCCCTCCACCTGGAATAAACTTCCCCTGCCTTGACATTCCAATGTCACCCTCTCAGAGAGGGCTTCCCTGGCCACTTTCCATAAAATAGCCACCCACTTCTAGGTCCCTCAAAAGCATATACTGTTTTGATTTTCCATATAGCACATACGCCCTCTGAGGTTATTTTATTTGGTAACGCGTTTCTTGTCTGTTTTCCTCTGTCAGAGCATTGGGGACCTTGTCTGGCTTGTTCCCAATGCCTGAAAGAGGGCTTAGCACACAGGATTAAGCCAACACATGCATTTTGAATGAATGTGTGTATACAAGCATGAGCTGGCAGTAGTCAGGGTTAGGGTAAGCACGAAGGCACAGCTCAGTTCTCTACATGTGACCTCTCATCTTGCGCAGATAAGAACCAGTTTGGTTTCTGCTAGCCTGAGTCACCCTTCTGGAAACTGGGCCTGCTTGGCATCAGGTCAGCCATCAGCCGGCCCATCTCCTCGGGCTGGCCAGCCCTTTGTGAGTGTGTGGGAGGGGAAGCTGGGTTCCTCCTGAGGTGCTCTGGAAGGAGGAGCAGCTCCACCCTGGGAGGGGCTGTGGCCCAGGTGCTGCCTGGATGCTACTTTATGAGCAGCAGCTCAGCCTAGAGCCAGAGTCTGGAAGACCTTGGAAGTCCTCGTGTCCTATCAGGCCCTCCCCATGGCTTTAGGTAAGCTCCTTCCACTCTTATGTTTCCATCTGAGAAATGAGAGAGGAAAATGTCTACCACTGGTGTTTACCAAATGCTTTCAGGCTCTGATGAGCAAGTGTCCAGGAAAATGTCAGGTGCATGGAGCTCCAGGCCTGTCTGGGGCACCTGGGCACAGGGGGACATCCATGGGAATGATGTCTGAGACAGCGGCTGCAAGCCTAGTGCCTGCTAGGCCAGCAGGTGAACAGAAGTGAACAGAGAGATGTAACTGCTGTGACAAAAGTCACGGAGTCCTCGGAGTCTGTGAGTCATTTTCCACTGTTGATAGAATAGGGACATTTGGTGAAACAACTCTGTTAAATTAGAGAAAGAACAATGTGAGCTCAATGAGAAATACTAATAGAATATGGCAATGAGCCACAATGTCTGAGGGTTGATTGATAGGGAAGGGTGGGGAGTGTGGTGAATTAAGGGCTTGGCACTCATCGGTTCCACCAGATGGTTGTCACCAGAGAATGCAGGCCCAGGTGGCCAGAACTTCTCACTTTTCCAGAAGAGTCAGATATTCTGATTTCATTATGTATAGTATTCTGACTAAATAAAACAATAAAACAAGCAGATAAAATATTTAATTTATAAGCTTCCAGTTTGCAACCTCTGGTTAGGATTTGTGTGGGGCAAAGAAACAAATTCTCAGGATTATTGGTCTGTAGACTCTAATTTTAAGTTTCTAATTTAAAATTGGCCCCTGAGGCCAGCCACAGTGGCTCACATCTGTAATCCCAACACTTTGGGAGGCTGAGGTGAGTGGATCACTTGAGGTCAGGAGTTCAAGACCAGCCTGGCCAACATGGTGAAACCTTGTCTCTATTAAAAATATAAAAATTGGCTGCGCATGGTGGTGCACACCTGTAATCCCAGCTACTTGGGTGACTGAGACAGAAAATTGCTGGAACCTGGGAGGTGGAGTTTCCAGTGAACCAAGATCATGCCACTACACTCCAGTATGGGCAACAAAGTGAGACTCTGTCCCAAAAAAAAAAAAAGTTCCCTAATGAGCAAACCATTTTCCTTCTGGATCTTACTCTCCTTATTCTCCTTTCTGGGTGTTAAGAGGAGGTCTAGCCAGAAAACTCTTAGCTTGTAGTAAGCTCGATGGAAATGTTAGCTCTTAATGTGTCTTCACGGACATTCCATTGTGCTTACTACGAGCCAGGCGTCATGCTGAACTCTTGACATGGTTTATCCCAGGGAGCACTCTCAATAACCCTGTGAGGAAGGACTATTATTGCTCACATTTTCGGAAGAGGAAATGGATGTAGAGAGATTAGGTAATTTGCCCAAGGCCAGACAGCTAGTATAAGAGGAGGAGGTGGGTTGACTGCAGATAGTCTGTCTTCAAACCACTACTCTATGATATGGAGGCACAGAGACTGAATGAAATCATGGAGTGGGGAACTGCTTTGTCAACCACAAGCAGTTATTCCAGGGGCAGCAGATCTTCCCCTATCCCCCAATGGGTACAATGGTCCATGGTGGGCTGTGCTACAATGTTAGCCCATGGTCTTGTGTGTTTTTCAAATGGATAAAGTGGGATGCTGGAACCACTCCTAGAACCAGATAGTGATACGTTGTGAAGAAATAAATCCCTATGCTTAAAAATGGTTCATCCCCAAATATTTTGAACTGACACACAATAGGTGCTAAATAAGTGTGTGTGAACTTGAATTAGATTGAATTTGGGAAACAAGTACATGTGAGCTTAGTGAAGACACCATGTTCCCTGGACAGAGGAATCACATTTTCCATCTAAGGCCAGGAATACAGGAGGTACGAATGTTTGCCAAGCACAGAACAGGGTATCAAGAAGAGAAAAGTTAGGGGGATGCATACACCGACTAGAACCTGGAAGGGTGAGAACAGAGGGTAAAGAATAAAGATGGAACCATGCACATACACTTTGTGTTACCTTGGACTAGCCATTCATTTCTCTTGACCTCTGCTTTCTCTCTACACAATGGGGTCCCACCACTTAGCTTACAGCTGACTCGTATGAAGAAGGAGGTGGAGGAGAAGGGGAAGGTGAAGACAGTGCTGATTAAAAGGGTGAATCCTTTTTAGGATCCAAGTTTGAAAGCAATTTTAGGCTACTAGCTATGAACAATGTCTTGATCATGTAGTTGAAGGAAATTAAAGATGAATGGTTTAATTAAAAATTAACTTGATCAGAATGAAAATGATTGATTACTATTATATCTGCTATGGTCTATTTTCCTGATTGGCAGCCTCACTAAAGTTTTTGAATACTCCTGTGTGATTGCTCTATGTATGTATGTATCTATCTGTTGTCTAATAAAATGGATCACATCTCTGCCAATAAAAACAGACTACAGGCTGAGTGTGGTGGCTCACGCATAATCCTATCACTTTGGGAGGTCAAGGTGGGCAGATCACGTGAGGTTGGGAGTTCGAGACCAGCCTGACCAACATGGAAAAACCCTATCTCTACTAAAAATGCAATTAGCCGGTGTGGTGGTGCACACCTGTGGTCTCAGCTACTCAGGAGGCGGAGGCAGGAAAATTGCTTGAACTGGAGGTGGAGGTTGTGGTGAGATGAGTTTGTGCCACTGCACTCTAGCTTGGGCAACAAGAGTGAAACTCTATCTCAATAAATAAATAAATAAATAAATAAATGAAAACAGACTACACCGGCAGGGTACAATTACAATTAACTGTGCCTGCAATTTGCAGCAGCAGCCACCAGAGGTGCCAGTGCCCTTTAAGGGTTCAGAGCTTAGAATAACCCAATTATCTCAGTTTTTCAGAGACTGAGGGGTTTGCCAAGGTGTAGAACTTTCAGTAATAAAGTCAAGAAAATCCTGGACAAATCAAGGTAATTGGTCACTGTAGTCCATAACCAGGTAAAGAGCTTTCCCTGTAATCTATGTGAAGGTTTAGAATCATTTCTTTCCTTATTACCAAAAATCGTCCCCCAATTTTCAAGCAATTATGAACTAAATAGTTACTCTATGAGATGTCAGTTCAGCCCAAAAGAAACACCATAGGAACAAATATAATTGTTGCTTCTGTTAACCATGCAATGAAGCATAGAGAAAAAAAGTCAGTGGCCTCTTTAGCAGGATTGCAGTGTGGGAAGAAACAACAAAACTGGGTTTCAGTTTTGTTATTTCAGAAATAACAAAATTGGGCCTGGCCAGGATCTGGGGCAAGTGAGTTAATCTTTCTGAGCCTTGAGTTCTTCTTCTTCTTCTTTTTTTTTTTTTTGCAAAGTGAAAGTAAGTTTATTAAGAAAGTAAAGGAATAAGAGAGTGACCAGGCCAGGCGCGGTGGCTCGCCTGTAATCCCAGCACTTTGGGAGGCCGAGGCGGGCAGATCACGAGGTCAAGAGATCGAGACCATCCTGGCCAACATGGTGAAACCCCATCTCTACTAAAAATACAAAAAAATTAGCTGGGCATGGTGGCTCACACCTGTAGTCCCAGCTACTCGGGAGGCTGAGGCAGGAGAATTGCTTGAACCCAGGAGGCGGAGGTTGCAGTGAGTTGAGGTCGCACCATCACACTCCAGTCTAGCGCCTGGTGATGGAGTGAGACTCTGTCTCAAAAAAAAAAAAGACAGTGACCACTCCATAGACAGGGTAGCCTGAAACTTGAGTTCTTCTATAAAGCGACTATGAATTTATACCTATTTTGAAAGTGGGTGTCAATATGTCTGTCCACTTTGCCCAGCTGTTATGTGGACACAAGGCGATCTGTGTGAAAGTGTAACACAGAACCTACAACACAACAAGTAAGCAGCGCAGTTGTCCCCTTCCCAAAGGCGACTGTTCTTCTCCCTTTCCTCCTGCCTGCAGGGGGATAATAAAACTAATCATGAAAACCAAGAAGGCAAGAGCAAACATGTACCTCTGAAAATACAAGATAACTGCATAAGTAATGAGTTTCAGTGCAGATCCATAGCTACCCATAAACTGCTGGGGCAAAAACCGCCTTGGAAAGCTCTGAACCTCAGAAAGGATTCACAGTAAGTTAACCACCTAGATCTGAGAGAAGAGTAGCTTCTTGCAGATAACAGTTGGATTATACAGCATATCCTGATGCCCTTCATCATCCGGGAGAGCAGAAGTGGTCACTCTGATAGCAGCAAACCTGGGGACTGCAGCTTGGTGGTAGAGGTGCTCAGGGGGACAGATATCTCCAAACTAGACCTGCTGCCATAGGGAGCTTCTAATAAGTTGCCGGATTTGGTTAAAATTAACTCGGCTACTTGACAGGGCCTGGGTCAGTGAGGACTGACAAAAAGAAGACATCCCATTATACCCTGGGGGTTTGCATTTCTTGAGCTTCTTTCTCTTCTTTGTACGAAAATATTTACCCATGACTCGGAAAGAGCAACTGGAGTCTTTGTAGCATTATCTTAGCAAAATTTTACAAAGCTTGGACAGCAATATTGCCCATATTGTATGGTGTGTGCTGTGACACTCAGGATTCAAATGTTGGCTGAAACCATTAAATATGAGATGAAGCTCTTACAAGGCAGGGTGCACATCTGTCCACCCAAAGCTGGATGCCTACATTTTACAAATAGAGCTTGGGTGACACAAATGCAGCTCCAGGAGGCCCAGATAAAAATGTTTGTATTGAGATTTGTTAAAGGTTCCCAACAAACTGGATTTGTCAGTAAGGATTGTTTTCTGCAAAGAGGATGGAACTTGTGGGGTGAGCCATTTAGGCTGAGAAGGAGGGAGGTTGGAGCTGAGAAATGTGGAGGCAATTTCCCCTTAGAAGGACTGAATCTCCCTGCCTCTCTAGGGTGCTGCAGCCAGCAGGATCCAATTGTGTATACGTCTCCCCAGCTCCCCATTCGGTGATAATCATGTCAGTAGCTTGAAATTATCAATGGTGAGAGTATTAAGTCATGGAAATTGGCAAATGGAAACTTTGTTTGTAGATTCAATTGTTAAACATTTACCAGCACACCACTGCCCTGCCTTCAGGCTCAATGACCCCATCCAAGTTTACTCCATCTGTCCACTGTCTCCAACACGACCTTTAAAAACACAGCTGACAACATTACCCTCTTCTTCAATTTTTTAAAAGATAAGTTTCCAGCTCACTGGGGTGGCATTAAAGGCCATTCCTTCTCTGGATCTCACCCAACTTTTCAAATCATTTTTCCTACCCCTATCTCTAAATGCCACTCAAACTCCAGCCATCCTGAATAATAAGACATTTTTTTTTTTTGAGACAGAGTTTCACTCTTTCATCCAAGCTGGAGTGCAATGGTGCAATCTCGACTCACTGCAACCTCTGTCCCCTGGGTTCAAGTGATCCTCCTGCTTCAGCCTCCCGAGTAACTGAGATTATAAGGGCACGCCACCATGCCTGGCTAATTTTTGTATTTTTAGTAGAGATGAGGTTTCATCACTTTGGCCAGGCTGGTCTTGAACTCCTTAACTCAAGTGATCCGCCTACCTCAGCCTCCCCAAGTGCTAGGATTAAAGGCGTGAGCCATCTCGCCTGGCCAATAAAACTTTTAAAAAGTAGATTATGTCAGATACCTCTGGTCTAGGTTATTTACAACCAACTCTCCTGCTGTGATTAACTAGAAAAGCTATACAAAACATATTTCCAAAAGATCCCTTTGGAGGCATCAGAGAATGGCCAAGGCTGTGAGGAATTGCCTGAACTCAGTGAGATGGCACCCAGCACTGGGACCCTTTACTCCTGGGGTCATCTACTGGTTTCAAAAATGTCAGCTGAGCTTTTCAGCATTTATGGAATTTGGTGGGGGAGATAAAATTTATACCTTATATCCTGCATACAATGAGGGTCCCTGATAATCCCCAGCCAGTCTGGAAATCTGGGTCAGCCTTCGCAGGTACTGAAGCCTGCCTCTGAATGATCTCAAGTCCTGGTAGGGTAGAGGGTACCTGCTGTTGAAAGGCTCCTGGCCTACCTGTCCAGCGGGAGCAAAAGTGAACCATTTCAGGATACAGATAACAATCACCCAGGGCTTTGAATGACTTCTACAGTGTTTAATATATAGTATTCAGCAGTCCATAAAATGGAATCAGGCACACGCAAGATGGCCCATGTATTAGGGAGAAATGGGCAATAGAAGGAGAGCCAGCAGGGATTCAAATCATGGATTTGAATCAGGGGCAACCTTTAAAAGAGCTATGGAAATATGCTTAAAAATTTAAAACACAAGATTGGAATTTTTGGCAGAGAACTAAAAACTATACAAAAAAGGAACCAAATTGAAATCCTAGAACTGAAAGATGCAATTAACCAACATTGAGAAATAGCCAACATCTATTGAACACTTCCCATGTGGACGGCTATGCTAAACCTTTATAGGCATCAACACAAGATGTGTCTCCTTACAGCAGTGCAGTGTCCTTCCTAAGACATGGGCAGCCTGGTTTCTCTATCTCTATACTTTACCAAAACCCCTTTGCATGGGGCTTAGACACTCCTGTTAGACACTACCTTACACAATAGTGTCTGGTAGCACAGTGCTCAGCACGTAGAAGGCACTGGATGCGATTGTGATGACCAGGAGATCCCAGGAAAGCTGTGGATGCTGATAGGGAAGACAGAGTCCTTTATGTGCTGTGGTCTTAAAACTTCATCCAGGAAGCAGAATTGGGGCAATGGGGGGCTGAGGACCCAGAACTGAGAATAAGCTTAGTCAGAAATTTCCTGTGGGCAGAAATCATAAGGATGCCAACTGTTTGGGTGAGATAAGGAGGAACCAAGAGTGGACTTGTGGCCAGAAGCGTGAGGAGAGAGAGAGAGCTTCCCCTGTCCCCTTTCTTCCTCTCCCTAAGCCACAGTGATTGACAGCCACCTCATTTGAAGTCAGAGCAGGCTTGAGACTGGACTGGAAAGGAGGGTGAGTCCAGATACAGAGCAGGAAGGCTGGAAGTGCAGGGCAGGGGCAAGGGACTGGGGCATTGTGCCTGCTCTCTCCCGCTTTACCTGCGTAAAGAAGCATACGCAAAAGCCACTGTGTGAGTATTCTCCGAGTGCCAGGCCAGGGCATGATTCATCACGTGCAGCATTTCATGCAATCCTTATAGCAGCCAATCACTTGGCTTCTATTATTAGCTCTATCAGATAATGAAACTGAGACCAAGGCAGGCTCTGCACATTGTGGGGGGTGGCCCAGCTTGGCAATGACACAGGAGGATTCAGACCTAGACTCCATAACTCCTGCCCCAGGAACCACCCCGAACCTCACTCCCTACATATTGAGAAAGGACATGTTGAGATACTTCTCTTTCACAGTGGGGAAATGACACAGAGCAGGGAGGTTCCAGGATCCCAGAGCGGCTTTTCTCCAGGAGAACACTCTGTCTCTGAATTCAGACTGGGGTCAGAGAAACATTTACCCAGGAGCCACGATGTGGGTGGGACTTTTTACTTGAAACATCGGCTGAGGGCAGTGGCCGGGATGGAACTCTTCACCCTACCTTGGAAAGCCACTTCTCTTCTGCAATCTGTAAGGGCACTTTTGAGAGAAATATGGTTTTCCAATTCAGGAGGGCTGAAGAAAGACAAATAGGAGAGAACTTGCCCCAGCTGGGTGCTAGCTGTCTTCTCTTTCAGAGGATATGATGATAAAGTGGTACACTTGATTATTAACAAATGCTTCAGAAATTTTAAACCCTAATATTCAACACACTCTGGAAGAGGCAATAAGTAGACAGGTTCATATACATCACCTCCTTCAGCTAGTCCTCACAAAAACAAACAGATGAACCAACGAAATGCTTCCTTGGCTCTCAGAGGAAGACGCTATTTCTTCAATGTGTTTCAAAAAGGTTGGGTGACTCACTCAAGGTCACACAGCTTGTGAGGACAGTACAGGAATACAAACATGCCATTTTGCCTGTCAAACCCATCATCCAGGGAGGTGACACACTTTTTTGCAGAAATGTTCTATTTCCTCTGAACGATAAGCTCTTTAAACTTTTGGGAAATTCATTCATAGCTTCTCTCCTTTGAAGAATTAACACTTTGGACACAAGGTGTCTGATTCTGATTAATTGATTGAAAGATTTGTTGGTTGAAAATAAAGTCAGACTCATCAAAACCAATTGCTGTAGTAGTAAATATTTTGACATTTTGTCTGTATTCCTGTACTGTCCTCCCAAGCTGTGACCTTGAGTGAGTAACTCATACTTTTTTTTTTTTTTTTTTTTTT